TCTGTCGGCCACCCGCGCCAACCATTACCGAAGAGTGGTTCGCTGCCTTTCGTGCACTTGTTGAAGACGGCCTGTGATGCTGTCTTTAGACCCGCCACCCGACCGATAAAGATATCATGGAAGTCAGGAAGGTCGACATACATGGCGCCGAGCTCATCCTTGAGGACCATGTCCACATGTTTGCGATATTCGGAGGAGTTTGCGAAGCTGCTCGTATTGATAGACCGCGGAGTTTGAAGAAGGTCAGATGCTATCGGTCGGGGAGGCGGGGAGGCTTCGGTAACGGCACAGTAAACTTGGTGCCAGATCTCATCGTCGGGCTTATTGGCGAGGACTGCATTGAAAAGTGGTTCAAATTGGTCCGAGTCGAAGTTGTACAAGTCGTCGGAGATGAGGGCGGGTATGCGTTTCAACAGATCGATTTGAAGGGTACCACGGCCTGTATTCGAACGTAGAAGAGAGGTAATAGGGAGGATTTGGAGTGTGTTCAGAAGTCTAAACGCAAGAATCTGGAAATCTAAACAGCGGTTAAATGGGCATTTCAACAACGTAGACAGGCCTGTCTCACACACCTTTTTTGCCCAGCTGACTGAGCGCGTCTGGCGTAGGACAGGAGATGCCCCTGTCTTTACAGACTGATTCGAACGAAGCACGGAAGGCATCTAGGCCTGTGCCGCCCTCTCTGCAGGCATCTTCCTGTTTTGCAGCCCTAACCGGCTGCCCCGTGCCAATAGAAAAGAGCTTCCCCACATCCTGGTGCCTGAATGGGACGGTCCAAGCTACCCACTCAGCGGCGGCGTTGATTATTACCGGTAGGAGCCACATTTGCAGGTTTGCCAAGCCTTTTCGTCGGTCCGAGCCGACAAAAAGGCTTGGCACCCTTGTCCAGAGCATGTACGATAGGTGCTATAAACACCATCGTAAACGCAACGTCTCATACCCTACGGGAGGCGGAAGTAGACGTTAAAAATAACAACAACAACCATCGTGAACGCAATTGATTTATAGAATCGCAAGTCTGGAGGTTTAAAAGCAGGACAAGGAAGTCCCTGTGCGGTGGGGCCACAGCCAGCCGCCCGTGACACGGGACACCTCCAACAGGTGCTCCATAAGGTGTTGAATATTCACCTTCTAACTCGTTTCATACGTAGTGTCACGAACTAATAAGCAAAGGACACGAGCCAACCAAACCGCCGGTGCACAACAACCCAAGCCGCGTCCCCGCTACCGAGGACTTCGGCCTGCTGACCACTGGTGTTGCCGCCTCCGCGATTACCTCCGCGACCACCACGGTTCTTCTTTCTGGACTCCTTTCCGTCCTGGCGGCCCTTGGAACCATAGTTGACTGAATTGATACAGCCACGGGCTGCCGGCGACACTCATCAGTCAAACTGTCGACCGGAATTACCGACATAATGCCACAGGGACACTCTGTCGGCGACACTCATCAATTAAACCGCCGACCGGAATTACCGACCGGCAACTGAAGGAAGGCTGGCATTCAGAAGATCTACTCGTAGGCAGGTGAACTTGATCGATTCGCGCCGATGCATGGCACACAGGGCTCGATACCTACCAACCTTCTTGTGTATAAGAAGGCTTTGAAGCCCAACATTCTCATGAAGGTTGAAGGGATCAACAAGGCCTTTGAGACCAAAGAAGATTATTAGCTGAATTGAACTGCTGTTCCAAGCCCAGAATACTGCCCTTGTCACAGCGACTCGAGGTACTTGGATCCCTCAATTTTATCAACCCGGGCGTGGCCAAACTTGATAGGAACATCAACAACAAACGAAGGAATCAAGAGAACGACGAAGATTGGGCCCAGTCAGACGCTCAGATCTTTGATGATAGGAAACACGTAACGGCCGGTATGGCTGTCCAGGTTGTCCTAACTCTGCCCTCATGAAGGTTCCCAGTGGTGTGCACCGCCCGCATGTCCCCTTCACTTTGCGATCGACGATGTTGACTTGCTTCCAGGCCTCACCTCCCGGTGCCGGTGGAGGAAAGGGCAAAGGACTGATGATGAGGTCCGCTCTTCAGGTGCACCGTGCAAGCCATTTTGCGAAGGGAAAGATGGGATGAAAAGATGCAGCTGCTGTGGCCGAGAAATTACCAACCAGTGGCACGACGGCTTGAAAAGGGAGTGGATGGACTTGTGTGTTCAGGTTGAACTCAGACGGTGGGGCGGACGCGAAAGTGACGGGTGAGGTGAACGGTTGAAGATTTTGCTCTGGCGCACTCACTGCCATCTCCCATCTACCACAACTAATGCGCTCACACCATCCTCTACTGGACATCTTTGGGCCTGATCATTTCGTTCTTTTATTTTCCCCACCTCCCAAGAGAACCTACACCTCTACCTAACTGTTCTTCACTCATCCCTGTCCTCACCGCCCCTAGTCGCCTTTGCAAGTACAACCCTCGCATTGTGACACCGACAGAACACACAATCCGATTACCATCATACAAATTGCAACCGACCTATCGTATTTCACGACACTTCAGGTCCCTTTCCCGGTAAGAAATTGTTCTTCTTGACCACGCGATAAAGCTTGATCAGCTAACCCAATGAGATAGCCAAGATGCCAGCGAAAAAGACCAGAGCCAAGAAGGCGCAAGCGACGAAGGAGACTGCCAAGGAATTGCCCTCGCCCGACACCCCTCCTGCGGATAGTCGCTCCCCTTCACGAACCTCCCTCTTGAGGTCCACATGCTCATCGGTGGCACGTTGAAGGACAAGAAGCAACTTGGTGCCCTCGCCAAATTAGCCAGGACGTCGGGCCGTCTCTGCTCTTTTTACGAGCAGCAACTTTACAAAGGAAAGAACTGCAGCAACATGATACGCGCTTTTATGTGGGGAGCGAGTATGGGTTCTATTCCTGTCATGAAAACCGCAAACGGATGGGGCGCAGACCTCGACACCCGGACCGATCTTGACTGCCACAGCCCTTACGCTCCTTGCCGCAACACGAAGGGTACAGCATTACAGTTGACCATCAGAGTAAAGCAGAACGACGCCATGCAGTGGCTATTGAAGCAGGGCGTTCTAGTGGATGTGCCTAATAAGCCGGCCCGCAACATGTGCCAGTGCGATGGGGGCTGGGACAGACGTGAGATCTGGGCTTCCACTCTTCACATCGCTATTTGCACTGGAAATCTGAACGCGGTCAAGTCACTACTCCGGGTTTGGCGCGAAGGAGTAGCGGCGTTGGAGTACTCTCAAAAGTTCGACCATGATCTCATCTTGCACACGGCAGTGTGCCAGGCATTCCGTTACCACAGCGTCGAAATTCTAGATTTCGTACTCAAAAACGTCATGATCCGCAAGTCAATCGACGGATTCAAGCCCAACTCTCAGGGGGGTTGTACGCCTCTCGCGATGGCCTTGCTCCGTGGTGGCGCATATTACGCGCATTGCAGCACGAAGAGCATTCTTGCCTCTTTGGTCAAGGCAGGTGCAAGCTTGGGACCATACCCTCCCGCCTCCTACCGGGCTGGCATATCCCCTCTCATGGACGAGATTGAGCGAGGACACCTACGAACGAACGCGAGATACCTGCTCCAACTGGGTTGTGATCCAAACGGCGACCGACCTGATCCAGTCACTCAAGACTGGGAAAGCCCACTGCACGTCTATATCATCCCGCAACACGAGAATAGATCTTTCCGCCCGCCTCATGTACCATCCATCCTGCCACAGTGGCAGGGTCAAAGCCGCCGCGAGATAAAAGCCTTCATCGTTGTACTTCTTAAGTACGGGGCGTCCCTCGACATCACCGATTCCGACGGATACTCTCCTCTGGACAATGTGCTCAGCTACATGGAGCCATTTCTCACGCCTGGTTTCAGAATCCTTGGCTTCAAGTTTGTGAAGTTCTTGCTAGCAAATGTTACGGATAAGGGCATCTCGGAGCAATCCATGAGAAGAGCGGAGGACGTTATGGCGACGATGATTCAGGACTTGCGGGCTGAGCATGCGACACACGACCTGTCCTACGATTACGAAGGTCCACTCCAAGAACACCATTTGGGAGTCTGGGGTGAGGAGGAAGTGGTTGAAGAGGAACCTGCGCCAATCCTTTTTGGGATGGCATTCATGGACGCGTGAGGGAGGCAGATTGGTCAGGAAGTGAAGGGTATTTGGAATTGTGTAAGCTATTGTACTTTCTCATTAATCTGGCAAGGAGTTCGGGTTTCTCGCTTGCTTATCTCTCGGCTATGGATTTGATGGGTGATGCAAGCGCACACCCGTGGACAGAGGATTTGTTGCACCTATACAAGTAGTGCGCGGAATTTGTATTATTTTTTTCCTTACTATCGCAATGGCAACGGGGATACCAACTTATTGACTTTTCACATCACAAGTGTGAAAATGGTTTGTTGTCACTTTATCTCTCATTTTCCAAGCTTAAGGGTTGTAGGTTTCTCTGCCCCCATCTTTCAGGGCAGAGTCTCGAAGATTACTCCCAGTGGCGAGTCCTGGGAATGGGTCCCAAGTAGTGATCTAGTGATCTATTGACGGTCTTTACATTCTTCGTGATCACCCTTCTCCCCTTTGTTTCTGTTGACCTTGGCCCTACTACTACATGCGGACCACGAGGATCACCGCACTTCCGGACAATGGTTACCCTGATCTCACTGTGGTCGACTGCAGACAGTTGTGACTTGCCGGTAAAAAAGCCACATCCCGCTTCATCGTGGTCGAGTTCACGATTAGGATAAGAACGGACCGGGAAGCCCGCAGGCCTTGGCAAGTCTGGTGGAATGTCAGACACCAAGTGAAGGGTTGAAGGTTCCCGCTAAAGGTTTCCAGGCAGTGAGGCTGCCAGCTGGCATATATGACGATCCCGGTGCTTCTCTCAAAGGTTCAATTCCGGTCACTTTCACTGCTACCTTACCTTCACCTACTCACTCAAGCACGACTGTCAAAGGTTCAACTTCGGTCACTCTCACTGGTATCTCCCATTCACTTATCTATCCGACCACTACACGCACCGCAGGTTGCCCTGGTTGATTTTGCTATTTAGTTTTCGTTCCTCATCCTCTATCATTATATAAACATCCTACCAACCACATTTGCGACCGGTTCGCACTTTTCAGCTTTCCCAACAACCGGTCACTCTACCGCAACAAAATTCCCAGGCCCCGCACCACGACACAAGACGCGGTGTCAACCAGAGTCAACGAGAGACAATCATTGCCCTTTCTTTCTGGCTCTTATTTACTACCCACTACAGAAGCGGTACTCGCTACAAGTGAAAAGCCGACTTCAACCCTTCACTCCCTTTGACTAACATCCAGGGGTCGTTTCCATGTACATTTCGACGACCTTTGCCGGCCGGGATAACGGAAAGAAACAGACATGTCAACTTCCTTTTTGGACCATCCGGTACGTAACGGCGCAGACTCCATCGTATAATAACACTTCATTTACTAACCCAACGACCAGACAACCATTGGCACGATCATCTTCCCTCCTACCTCACAACAGGGGCGTCCCTATCTGCCTCCTGAGATTCACTTCATGATCTCGGGGTTCTTGAAAGACGAAGCGCGTTGAAACACACTCCTTGTATTGTCCAGATCTTTACACTGGCTGAGGTCCATCTACGAGACACGACTGTACCTCACCACCAAGCACACCAGTTACCCGCGTCACTACCCAATTGGCATTAGATTCAAAGATACAGCACCAGGTTCAGGCAACCTCATTAGGGCTTTGATGTGGGTTATTATCAACGAATTGGTGCCTGTCATGGCTCAGGCCAAAGCCTATGGAGCCTGTTGAAGCAGACTACCGTCTTGGCAGTCGATCCACACATGGACCTCAGTCATGTATATATATATCGATGGCCTCTCTCATTTTTCACCTACAATCCTTCTGCTCTTCAGTCAATCAATCAAGGAATTCTCTTGCCGACCGATCCTCTGAATCAATTTCCCTGTGCCCACCCATGTGCTCCAACACATCATCCTCTAAAGACCCACTCGTGAGTACGATGCATCTGGGGAGCACCATAAGGAGGAAGCAATCATTTCTTTCGCACAACCTACAGGATGTCTTGGCCAGGACACATATATCACCATGATCACTTTACTCTTTTGGCCTAATGGACTCCAGAATGCTTCGCAAAAATGGACATGAGAACTGGCTGGACCTTTGCAGGACTGGAGAATGTCAGGTCAAACACATTTAATAAGATGCAGTGCAGATTGCACCCGGGAGTACGGAATACTTCAGTCTATGATATGACGATTTTCCTTGATGTTATCTGTTCCCATTTGGATTGGACCGATTATTTCTTTTTCATTGTCAAAGCTGGTACCCTGACCCTCCCTTTTTCCGTTTTGTTCTTTGCCCTGTTTGGATTAGATTTTGCCTTATTTTCTCGGTTTATGGGTTCAGTCGGAATGGTTTGCTGGAAGTTATGAAACAACAATCCCATCCCGATGTTTTGATAGGTGTCTGATTGATTGGAGGGATAGGCATCGCTGAGTATCTCCTGAGTCCCTGCTCGCTTCTTTCCGGCCAATCGCGCGACACCGACTACAAGAGGGCTGAGTACATCTCTTCACGCTTTTTAGTGATCCAGGCAGACGCAGACTGTCACATACGATCATATCCACTGGAAACCTCGGGATCCCGTCCGCTCTCCCATAGATAAGCCAGTGAGGGCCTGACTAGTAGCTGGGTCGGTGACGATCAGCGAATCCCAGGTGTTGTATGTCTTTTTTTTTTTGCTTTTTTGCATCTTGCAGAGTTTCTCTAGTTCTACCTTTGTGAATCGCTGTTCCCCTACCGGGTTTTTGGTCTTTCTTTTGTGGCTTCGACATTATGAGCAGGGATGGAGGTTGTGAGCAGGTCATGGGAGTTGTGTTGTGTGACGAACCGTTACAAGAACAAGAGTATATCGCTGGGATAAAGATAGAACAACGGTCATAAGTAGCCAAAAGGTACTGATCAATTGTAGAGACTAGTTGCTTGCTGAAGAGCCGGTAACAGGAAGCCCGGGAGGCCTTCCTTTATACTGGTCTTCCTGGACCCGATATACCGGACCCGGGCCTTCGGGTCTCTTCTTCGGGTCCGTTCTTACTGGTCAGATATTCTGGCTTACATGATTGGATCGTAACACTCCCAAGCAGGAAGTTGGAATGACCTGAGTGCCTTGGAATTTCATGCTGGTTTGTTTGTTTGTGGTATGATGCTTCGGCGTCTTTTTGTGCCGCAGCCCTCCCCCGTATGCATCTCTCTCATCCAATCGACACGTCTACAAAGGTGCCGGCGGCTACGCCAACAGTGTGTTGGAAGCCAACAAACATGATTATAACATTCCAGGATGGAAGGGAAGAGGTAGGCTGATGCAGGCAGATGAAGGAGGTAGGTTAAGCTGGGTAGGTGAAGGAGGTCAACTAAGGCACACAAGTGAAAAACCGGGCTTGTGTATATTACAAATGGAGTTGGTATCAGGTCCCAGAGTTGGCTCGTCGAACACCACCAACAAAAGCGAGGGCTCCACCTCCTTCCCCTTCGCCCCTCTCCTCTTATACCGCTTTTTTATTCAATTGGGTTTTATCCTTCTCTCTTACGGTCCAGTAGATCTAGGGAGCACTTTCAGGCAAGGCGGCCAGCGTGACCGGCGAGCTGAGCAAACCATGCAGAGCGACCGGCAACTCTGTTATGCAAGTCACATCAATATCACATCAACTCTATAAATCAGTTGATCCGCCCCGTCTCAGGAACCGTTCGAATTTCCCAGAGACCAAGGACCAGAGTTTGAGTCCAGGACGAATATCTCTTCACACTATTAGTCTTTGCACACAGGGTCATATTAGGAATCATGTGCGACTACATTCAGGTGAGCGACATCCTGTTTTAATGTGTTGCAACGATTAAAGCTAACATATCAATAGAGAGAATAAGCCTGCGGGCACTTTCGCTGGATAGCGTCCAAATGGTGTTGTGAACATACCAAAACCCAGAGAAGGTGTCAACCGAATATAGCTTACTTTGAGAACAACTAATTTCCTTACACGAGATTTCTTGTTATTTTTAACGGCTACTTCCGCCTCCCGTAGGGCA